CAAATCTGACCTCAGAAGACTACAGAGGGTAGTCCGGACTGCTGAGCGAATCATTGGTACAACCCTCCCTTCTCTCCAAGAACTGTACTTATCCAGAGTGAGCAAAAGGGCTGGCAAAATCACTCTGAATGCTTCACAGCCAGCCCACTCCCTCTTTGAACTGTTGCCATCTGGTCGACGCTACAGAGCACTGAGCACCAGAACGACCAGACACAGGAACAGTTTCTTCCCTCAGGCAATCCATCTCATGAACACTTAACAATAACTGTGGAACACAAACTATTTATTCACTCATACACTTATTTATCTAACACACATACTCAGTCTACACCTCAAATTTGCACATAATATACAGTACCTGTACATACAAAAACTGTCTATTGTAATATACCTGCACATACAACTGTCAATTTATATATTTTTATTCCTTATTTACTTGTTCTATTTTTTATTATCTGTGTTTTTTGTTCTGTCACTGTCATTCTGTTACACTGTGGAAGCTTCTGTCACGAAAACAAATTCCTCGTATGTGTAAACATACCTGGCAATAAAAGCTCATTCTGATTCTGATTCGTAAGTCTCTTAATTAACTTATTGTTTATTGAATTCAATGTCAAATCGCACATCGTTAAAACAACAATTACGATATTATCGCAGACGATATATATCGCACACCCCTAGTGTCATCTCGAAATTACGGTAATTACAATATGGCGTGAATGCAGCACAGCATTAGCCTAGTATTTGTCTGCTCATGTGTTTTTTGTGGTTTATATTTATGCATGTGTATTTTATTCACATCTTATTTGTATTATCTGTGTTGTTGTTGTCTCCGTGTACTGGAAGCGTGTGACACTATAACAAATTCCTTGTATGTGCAAACATACTTGGCAATAAAGCTCTTTCTGATTCTGATTCTGATTAAATTAAATTAAATTAATTTTTTAATTTAATTTAATTTAATATATATTTAAAATAAAATAAATATTGAAAAAAAAAAAAAAGTAAATGTATGGTCACCCTTCAAGTGTTTCTCTACCAATTGGGATACTTTAAAACAGTAATATAAATCATGTCATTATTGAAAACAATGAAATTATGTATAGTATTATTAAAATAATATATTAAAATACTATATGTAATATTTCTAAAATGTAAAATTAACATTTTAACACTTACTAAAATTAATATTTTAACACTGAAAACTTTAAAACTGTTTATAATTTTATATGCAAAGTGTATCAATAACCCTTGGAACGAATGGATGATAGAATCCTAAATCCAGACTAAATCCAGAAGAACTGTGGCAACATCTCTAAGATTCTTCAAGAAACCTACCTGCAAAGCTACAGTACTGTTAAAAGTTTGAAACATCTTGGAGACATTGCCACAGTTCTTCTGGATTTAGTCTGTCTCAGTTTGTTCTGTTTCTTCATGTTATTCCAGACAGACTGGATGATGATGAGATCAGATCTCTGTGTGGAGCACTGGCTGTTGTCAGACTCCTTGTGCAAACATAAATCTCACTGGAGTATTACAATTAATGGCAAAATGTTTCCTACTGATACACTACAGCAAAAGATAGAAATAACTGACTTAAAACCGTTTTTAACTGGTCAAAATACTAGTGTTTTAATAATTTTGGCCACCACTGTATAACATACATGAAATTACCCTGTAGCAGATCTATACAGGTGGAGCTGGGGAAGGTGGAGGGTTTCTGAAATGCGCAAGCACTAGCCACTTATTTGAATATTGAGCAGCAAGCTTATTGGCTGCTGATGCAAAAAGAAACCAATCAGCTGTGCCATGTTAATGATGATGTAATTATATCAGATTGGGTTAGACCTATTGGCCTGTGCCATCTAGAGTTTCATGACAGAACATTGTATTTATCTTTTTAACATCAGGGCATTTATTTCTCCAGCACTCTTTAATGAGCTTTTGAATGATGCAGAAATGAAACCTGTGGGTTGAGTGTTGTCCTTTTACAACCTTATTGAATTAATATTGACAAGATTAAGCTTCTCATCTCTTTCGTTAAGTATTCTGCCAAGTATCAACACCCTTGTGTTAAGACTGCTACAGCAGTACAACACTGGAATAGACTCCTGTGTTCATGTGGTTTTCATGTCCCCTCAAGCTGTTTTAATTAAACCTTCAGAGAAGCTGCTCTTTTATTATCTGTGGAAGCTTATGAGAAATAAATAGAAAGCATGGTTATGATCTCTTTCTCCCCTGTGCTTTGTTATTGAGCTTGTTTGGTGCATGTGGAGGACTCCAAAGGGCAGGGGATCCCAGGGGTCTTCTTCATAACACATGGGCCCGAGCACATTGTGTGGCCTGGGAGACTCTCTTTTCAACAGAAAAGAGCAGCTATGGCAGGATATTTACAGTCTGCCCTTGGGGAATACGGTCTCCTAAATAATCTTTTCAGGAGGAGTTTAGAAATGAGTTGAGCAACCTGCGGAGAGTCAGACCTTTGCATTAGTGAATAGTTATAGACTGACATAGCTAGGTCAGATAAGGAAACGGGTAAATAACGAGTCGTTTTCTGGAATATTTGCAAGATTTCATTTGTCTGTCAGTATCGGTATCAATGCAGTGATAAGGAAAATTATGACTGACATCTATGGTAGGTGTGGAAAAGGACTTTAGATGGTTAAATAATCATATAAAGAGGAAGTATGCCATTTTTGTGTTTTCATTTGCGGAGAGAAATGAATATAGCAGTAAAAGAATTTAAATTAAAATGTATTTTTAAAAATGTTATTTAAAAATTCTGTCATCATTGTTGTGCCAAACCTATATGACACTCTTCTGTGGAACATGAAAGGAGATATTTTGTTTGTAATCAAAGAGTTTTGGTTCCCATTGACTTCCTTTGAATTTTATGTCTATATAATGGTAGTCAGTGGGAACCCAAATGGATTGGTTACCAACATTCTTTAAAATATCTTTTTAAGTTTTCATTTTTTGGTGCACTATCCATTTAACGCTTTCTCATTTTTAAATATAGACTTTCAATAGTTTTTTTTTATGTAGTATTTAAATTGCGCTTTTAATGCAACTTTTAAATTGCAATATTAAATTAAACTTAAGTTCTTACATTTGTAAATGCTTTACTAAATGTAAAAATGCTTTTAATTTGCAACTTAAATTTTGCTTTTTAAAACTTTTTTCAAAAAATGAGTTGAACCGTTTTATCTGTCAAGTTCAGAATTTATTTATTTATTTTTGTTTGTTTGTTTGTTTATTTTTATTTTTTATGTTGATAATTATTTCATTCTTTTATTTTTAAATGCTATTTCTAGTCCTAAATAAAATTTTCAAAGGTGTCTGTAATGCCTGGGTACCTGTTTGAATTCCAATTTATTTAAATGGCAGTTGCTCTGCTGGTACGCTGGTTCGTTGGTCCGTTAGATCGGATTGCTTTCTCACTACAACCGAACCGCTCCAGAGTTCGTTTTCAATCGAGCCGAGACCACCTCGTTCAGGTGATCTCGGACCGATTGTTTTGGCGCGGATCCGAGCACGATTGCCATGTTCACATATGCCCAAACGAACCGAGCTAAGGGGGGAAACGTGCCAGGCTGCGAAACAACGAGCCAGGTGTGAAAGTACCCTTAAAATCTGCCATTATTGTTCATGAAGCTCAGCCAATCGGCTAAGTAGTAAATTCCATGTGACAGTTGAATCTAATATTTCACATTTTGTGTAGTGTACACTACACTATATTTTAGAAAATTAAACAATTCCTTGAGTTTTATACATATTTTGGAAAATCTAAGTCAAAAAATGAGTTGACAAGTGACATTAACAAAAAAACATTGACTAAAGTTAGCTCAGCCTCCTGCTTAGACAGTCCATTATCATATTGTGAGGAAACTCACATGGCCCGGCTTTCCATTTGTCAGGCTTCTTAAGGGACCCAAATTCCAGAAGGTGATTTTCTCCAGGAACTACACCTGGCTCCCTGTGGGGAATTACGTTTCAGTTTGTAAGAGACACGGATCTGTGCCACTGTCACTGATTCAATGCTTGTTAAGCCCTGACTTGGCAAGCTTAGCTGAATTACTGTGCTAGGGTGAACTCCACAGTCATTTGGAGTCACTAATGACCGAAGTTAGGAAGTGATTTTCTGTGCAGAAATCTCAGAGCAGTGGATTATCCACGAGAAACGCATCGTAATTGGAAGAAACACTCTGAATTTTAGAGACCTCGATTGTCGTTCTGCACTCACCATTTCCTAATTACAGGTAAATAGATACAGGCTGATAAACACTCACAAAACGATGCAGCGTTTCCTAAATTCCCAGACATAAAAAAATATTTCAAGGCCATGTTTCCATAAGGGCGTCTCATTAGAGAAGAGCGAATTTAAGGGGCTAAAACCCGTCTCGAAGACGATGGCTTTGAGAAATGCAGCATCTGCACAATACTAAGCTCTGTAAACCCACACAGCACAGAGGCATTTTATGTGATGACACGGGTCCTCCATTGTCATTCATTCCTGTTAATGCCTCACTGCTTATCGCCTCTCACTCTTCCTCCAAATGTGGAAATTACAGCCGGCCACAGTTATCACCCACAGACTGCAGGCTGCCAGGGAGCACCGGCTGGATTACCCTGCTCCACCAATTACCCGCCAAACCCTGAGCAGGAAATGATTTTCATCATTTATGCTCCAGTCAGCTGGCATTGTGGTTTGACACAGGGCAGATATATTGGAAAAGCCAGGGCAGCAGCAGTGTCTGAAAAACTGGATATCAGCAGAGATTTTTACTGGCACGTATAAACATTCGTACTGTGGGTCGACAATGAGCCTCTATAAACATGAAAGAGAGCAACAGTTTGTTTAGTGCATTATAGCACTATAATTTCATATGTTTTTCGAGAGCAATATGCTTGTGGCCGTATCTTTTTATTATTACATCAGTGTGTTTTTGAGCGTGTGAGGGATGAAATAATACTACAGTTGCTCTTTCATTGTGTTGCAGGTATGAGGATCCTGGTGACACTTCTGCTGGACACTCTTCCCATGCTGGGCAATGTGCTGCTGCTTTGCTTCTTTGTTTTCTTCATCTTTGGGATCGTAGGGGTCCAGTTGTGGGCCGGGCTTCTGCGCAACCGCTGCTTCCTCCCGGAAAACTTCTCCCTGTGAGTGCGATGGCCTGGGATGTAGTATCACAAGCATGATATTGATTTACAAGTGACCTCAGGAGTCTTAAAATGAGAGGGTTTATAATATGAGCACATGATGAAAGGCCAAGTATCAACACGAGATCAATTTAAATGGGGTTTAATGGGCCTACAGAAAAGAGGATTGAAAGCAATACACAGAAATGCAAAAATGATCAATGACAAACAAATAAATATTATTTATTTCTGTATGTGTGTGTGTATATATATAAATAATAAAGTTTATAATCATGCTGTCTAATCAGCACCTGTGAGGTGGATGGATTATCTCGGCAAAGGAGAAGTGCTCACTAACACAGATTTAGACAGATTTGTGAACAATATTTGAGAGAAATAGGCCTTTTGTGTACATAGAAAAAGTCTTAGATCTTTGAGTTCAGCTCATGAAAAATAGGGGCAAAAACAAAAGTGTTGCATTTATAATTTTGTTCAGTGTATATATATAAAAAATAGCAATTATTGTATTTGAACACTATTTTATATACGTAAAATTATAATATATTTTAAAATTATTAGAATAAATGTTTTACTTGTTTTATTTGTTTACTTTGAGTATTAGTGAGCTCTCCTCTATGTTAATGCAGCACAACTCCTTACCCCTTTTTTTGAGCAAATAAAGTTCAAATTGATATGGAAATAAATGTGCACCAAATGTCCACAAAGGTGAATGGGTCACACAAGGAGTTTTGGAAATGATTTCCCTCCACAAATGCGTAAATCTGTTGCAGACACTATCTTATGTTTGATGAATCGTAAATAAATGAATAATAAGTTTCCATTTCTCTTCTTTCTGCTACCATTCATTTTCAACCATGAATCAATTATTTTTGTTTACCTATCTAGCACTGTAAACCCCACAGCTATCATTGCACTGAGAGCATGAATTAGACCCCATGGATTCATGGCCTGGCTAACACTGCGTGTTGAAGGAATCCACTGCCTCACAGAGATTGGCTTGCAGCGGTGATTATGTAACATTAAGACGGTCTAAAACTGTTAAATTGCTCTTAAGAAATAAATATTTCAAGGGGCAGGGTTCTTTGGAAGGCTAGGATTTGTCCCAATGGGTAATTGAAGGTACTTGTGCAGCTAATTCGCCATGGCACTTTCTCGCTGAGGTGAATTTGTGTTGACAGACGGCCCAATTATCCAGTGTCAGAGCCAAACGCCACTAAAGCTAGGCCTTGCTCAATCGCATTTCTTCTGGAGATAGTTACTGCTGATCTTGCTGCAGCCTGACTGCTGCTCAAATGGGTGTTTGCCCAACCCTAGGAGAAGCTGAGGCTGAGCGGAGGGCACTGAGGTCTTCGTTGGCTGAGTTATTGCTCAGTCAGAAGTCAGAAGTCAGAAAGAGCTTTATTGCCAAGTATGTTTGCACATACAAGGAATTTGTTTTAGTGTCACAGACTTCCAGTACACAGAGACAACAACAACACACAGATAATACAAATAAGATGTGAATAAAATACACATGCATAATTTTAAATAAACCACAAAAAAGAATAAATTGTATGTACAGGTGTGCTATAGATAGAATAGGAATAGAATAAAAAATATATATATATAAGTTGTAGGGGTGTACTAAGATTTAGGGTGATAAATAAGTATAAGGTTATTGCACATACTTTTATTGCACAATGGGAGAACATTAACTGTTCATGAGGTAGATTGCCTGGGGAAAGAAACTGTTCTTGTGCCTGGCTGTCCTGGTGTTCGGTGCTCTGTAACACCGACCAGATGGCAAAGGTTAAAAAAGGAGATGACTTGGATGTGAGGGATCCAGAGTGATTTTCTGAGCCCTTTTCCTCACTCTGGATGTATACAGTTCTTGGAGGGTAGGCAGGGGAGCACCAATAATCCTTTCAGCAGTCCGAACCGTTCTCTGTAGTTTTCTAATGTCTGATTTTGTTGCTGAACCAAACCAGACAGTTATTGACTGTTTCAGCAGCTCCTGTGGCAGGTTGAATTTCCACAGTTGGCAAAGGAAGTACAACCTTTGTTGGGCCTTTTTAACAATGGAGTCTATGTGAGTGACCCACTTCAGGTCCTGAGAGATGGTGGTTCCCATCTGTCTGAATGACTCCACTGCAGCCACGGTGCTGTCCATGATGGTGAGTGGGGAGAGTGCAGGGGGGTTCCTCCTGAAGTCCACGATCATCTCCACTGTTTTGAGCGAGTTCAGCTCCAGGTTGTTTTGACTGCACCAGACAGACAGCTCTTTAACCTCCTGTCTGTAAGCAGACTTATCTCCGTCCTGGATGGAGACCGATGACTGTAGTGTCATCTGCAAACTTCAGGAGTTTGACAGAGGGGGTCTTTAGAGGTGCAGTCATTTGTGTAGAGGGAGAAGAGTAGTGGGTAGAGGATGCAACCCTGAGGGGCGCCAGTGCTGGTGGTGTGGCTGTGGATGTGAATTTACCAATTCTCACTAGCTGTTGCCTACATCTTCACTGATCTGAAACATAGGAGTGGGGGAGAGGGGGGTTGCAGGAGGTGTTGATGGTTGTGTGGAGAGATGTTCAGAGCGGGTGTGGGGTGTTAGACTGGGAGTTTCAAATCTACAGTAAAACAGGTAAACTATCATTTTAGGAAGTAATTCTTATTTTATCCTTTCTACAGGCCTACCAGTCTAGACCTGCACAACTACTACCACACAGAAAATTATGATGAAAACCCGTTTATCTGTTCTCAACCACGGGAGAATGGCATGCGCCTGTGCAGTTCCATCCCCACGCTTCACGAGGAGGGCCGGCAGTGCCAGCTGGACATGGCAGCTTACAATAGCACAGACAACACCACCTGCGTCAACTGGAACAAGTATTACACCAACTGCTCTGCCGGAGAGGCCAATCCCTTCAAGGGGGCCATAAACTTTGACAACATTGGTTATGCCTGGATTGCCATCTTTCAGGTCTGTTGTATGTCTTCTTTTATTGCTGATGCTGTGAAGACTTACCAAGAGCTATAAAAACACATACAATGCCTTAGAATGACAGTTTAGTAAGGATGCACAATATATTGTTGCCATAAAAAATTGTGTTAGTTGCTGTTGGATATGTCATTGTGCATGCTCATTTCTCCTATTTTTACATTTAGATTACCACGTTCATCATCTAATGCTTAATCTTTAAAAATGCTAATAACGTAATAACACTAATCTCAAAAATAATGCTGTTTTACATACTGTACTTTGAAATGTTGTGATGCCTAAATTCACTTGTAGCATTTAAAATGTATGTGTTTATTTATTTATTCATTTGAAAGTAAAGACTGTAAAGATATGACTTTACACAGCCACCAAAATCCGAGGCACTTTGACCCAACAGTGACATTTAATTTACTGATTGATTGAAGTTGATCCAAACTAATACTTAATTTATTATCTTGAACTCAAATGTGCTTACCGCAGTTTCCCTGACTGTTCAACGATATCTTAAGCGCTTGACATTGTGTTTAAATAACAAAGCTAATTTGTCCTGGGATTTTGGATTAGCCTTTTTAGAATCTGGCGTGGAGGCAACTGCAGGGATCAGCGGGCTCTATTAATTTTTATTCTGTATTCTTTTATCACAAAAAGGGTGATAAGGTTTTAATTATTCTTGCATGTGCCCACTGATTTTAATCTCAAATTGAATTAAAATCTCACTTTTCATATGTTTACAACACAACAAAATAGATTTCTAATTAAATATTTAGGAGACTGTTTTGTACTGAACTGTGCAGTGGCCTGATGACTTAATCTTCGTTTTGCAAGCGGCCAATTCTGTGGCTTGCCGCTTAATTTTTAGTATCTAAAAATGAATTAGCTGTCTGACAGCCCTTCATCCTGCTAGCACACCCAATTGCCCTGTAAATAGCAAGCAAATGCCTTTTTCCTTCCGGTTTTGCCTTTCCTCGTTTCTCCCTAATCTGTGACTGATTGATCAAAGGGAATGAAGAGTGCATGCTGGGTAGGGTGTCCCCCCTGAGCATTCGATATCTGTACTGTCTACCTCATCATGCATGCTTGAGTACAGAACCAAAAACTGATCACAGAAGCATATAATCAGAGATTACTTATGCTTTTAGTTTGCATGTCTGTCACTGTATTGAAATTAGTACCAGTTTGTTTTTTTCATGCTTGTGATATATCTAGAATGCACCTAGAAATAGTTTTATATAAAAAATAATGCCTTATATAAACTGTCTCTTATGGGACATAAGCTGCACTGAATCCCTCTCCTTTTGTTCTTTCCTGTAGGTTATTACTCTGGAGGGCTGGGTGGACATCATGTACTTTGTTATGGATGCTCACTCCTTTTACAATTTCATCTACTTCATCCTCCTGATAATAGTGAGTGGCTGTGGGCTGAGCTGGGCAGACCTGGACTCCTTTATGAGAGCATTACCTGAATTGTCACTGTCTTCTGAGCTGTCTAAGCCTGTCTGACACAGAGTTACAAAGACAAGATAATCATATTTTAAACTTTTTTTTAAATGACCATGTTTTTAAAAACAGTCATAGTTGCAATGTATAAATCATGTTTTGTTTAGCCTAGGAAATGGATTGTTGTCAAAATGGTTTAAATCTGTTCAGGAGATCCATTTAGGGGTATTTAAAATGGATAGCTCAGACAAAAATCTCATTTCTGGCATCGTATTCTGTCAGTTTACAAATCTAAACTTCATTGTCGCATAGATTTATATATAATGTTGGGTACATATCAAGCTTTATCCATATACATACAGTATACTCATGTGAAGTGATATATACTTTATTGGAAATCCCAACTGCTTAACTTTTATTTCATCAATATAACTATTTTAGCGATCAGCTCTTTATATAAAGTCGTATATACTGTATAAGTATGTATATTTAAAGTATGGCTTGATTGCTTATATTGTTGCTAAATGTACTGTATATTATTACATCCAGCTCAAATCTGCTAAATTTGACAATAAATCATGAAGATGTTAAAATATGTGACCCTGGACCACGAAACCAATCATAAGTAGCACAGGTATATTTGTAGCAATAGCCAAAAATACATTGTATGGGTCAAAATTATCGATTTTTCTTTTATGCCAATAATAATTAGGATATTAAGTAAAGATCATGTTCCATGAAGATATTTTGTAAATTTCCTATGGTAAATATACCAAAACTTAATTTTTGTTTAGTAATATGCATTGCTAAGAACTTCATTTGGATAAATTTAAAGGTGATTTTCTCAATATTTAGATTTTTTTTTGCACCATCAGATTCCAGATTTTCCAATAGTTGTATCTCGGCTAAATATTGTAGTATCCTAACAAACCATACATCAATGGAAATCTTATTCATTCAGCTTTCAGATGATGTATAAATCTCAATTTCAAAAAATTGACCATTATGACTGGTTTTGTCGAATATTAACAGCGTCACATATTAAAAACATCAACATCATGACTTTCTGTAAAGCTGCTTTAAAACAGTATGTATTGTGAAAAGCACTATGCAAATACATTTGACTTAAGTTGACTTAATTTATTCAATGTCTTGTCTTTCTAAACCTGTTTGACTTTCTTCTGTGGAACAGAAACACGGAAACATTTCTCAAAATGTTTTCTTTTGTGTTACACAGAAGAAAGTAAGTCATACAGGTTTGGAATGATGTGATGGTGAATGAATAATGACAGAATTTTCCTTTTTGGGAGAACTGTACCTTTAAATGCGAGGTTGTTCTAAACTTCCAGTCTGTTAATTTCAAATCCTATTAGTACAGAAAATAACCATTTATTTTATGCTTGCTATTTTTATCATTCCATCTTTTCTTGTTTTTACAGTAGCAATGTTGTTAATGAACAGTGAAGCTCTCTCTGTTCATGGTCTCTTCCACTGTTTTTCAGGTGGGCTCATTCTTCATGATCAACCTTTGTCTAGTTGTCATAGCGACACAGTTCTCTGAGACCAAGCAACGAGAGAGCCAGCTAATGAAGGAGCAGAGAGTGCGCTTCAGGTCCAACGCCAGCACGCTGAATAGCTTCTCTGAGCCAGGAAGCTGCTACGACGAGCTTCTCAAGTACCTAGTCCACATCTTCCGCAAAGGCACCAGGCAAATCTGCCACCTCATCCGAGCCGCCGGTCGTCGGGCAGGCCTGCGGATCTGCGCTTCTCCGCCACTGGAACCACCGCCCACGAAAAGACGGCGTCAGAAGCAGCGCCAGGGATCCATCCGTCACGTCATGCACCATCAGCACCACCTCCACCATCACTACCATCTGGGCAATGGGAGTGTCCGAACTGATGGGGGCAGAGAGGTGGACAACGGTTCCCAGAGTGGAAATGTCAACAACTCTGGGCATCTCATGCTACCTGTCATTGTCCCTCATCAGGACCTTTTTTGTGGGTCTCTGGGCCCCAGCGGTGCAGAATCTGTGCATAGTGTTTATCAGACCGTGGGCCACCTTGAGCCACTGCGCTGCGGCCCCTTACCTTCTCCCACGGTTCTCCATGCATATAAGAGGAACTCAGTACCATTTGCGGCTCCAGTACATAAGAACTACCCCACGTTACTGTCATCTCTAGCCTTAGAGCAGCTCAGACAGAGAATTCTGGAACCAGGAGGTGGCAGTTGCACTGCTAGTGTCCTTACCAACCTAAATATCCCACCTACTCCCATCAACGCCTCACAGTGCCTGGTGGAGACACAAGGTTCTCCTGGTAAATGGATTTTAAACTGAAATTCAGAAATTCAACAGCTGGATGACACGAGTTTAGAGTAGGGCGGTATGAACAAAATTAACCAAGTAATTTCATATTAGGGCTGTCAAATCGATTAATCGCAATTAATCGGATCTAAAATAAAAGTTTGGGCTTACATAATATATGTGTGCATACTGTGAATATATGTATATTTAAATACACACACATACGTTTATATATTTAAGAAATATATTTATGTATGTCTAAGTCTTATTTTGGATGCGATTAATCGTGATTAATCGATTTGACAGCCCTATTTTATATTTTTGTATGTTGTATTTTGTTCATATCATCATGGTTACACTATGCATTATAGTTGCTTTTGCTGGAAATTTGACCCTGAAATGTCTATTCGATTATTTAAATTTATAATTAATTTTAATATAATTATTTTACATTTATAGATTATTTATAACAAATTGATACATTTATTACATTCTTCAGATATTGATTAAAGCAAATTATTTTATCTAAATAATTGAAATTTAAGAAAACTTTACAAACACTCATACAAACACTGTAATTTTATGCACAGTTATGCAATTTCCAGCTATTATTGCAAATAAAAAAATGTTCATTTAAAGATTAGATAGAGAGAGATAGAGAGATCTAAAACAAATAGACACTTGTCCATGCATCATGTGCTTTTTCTTATACATTTCAGGCAAGATCATCTGTAAGGATACACTCATGAACTGCAGTGGCACGAACTTAGACACCGCTTTGACCTTTGACCCTGAGACGTGTCCGTATTGCGCCAAATTCATGGCCAACGACTCTGAGGGAGTGGATGGGAATGAGACGGCAGACTCTGACAGTGAAGGTGTATGTGAGTTCACACAGGATGCCCATTATCGGGACAGCAGAGATCCCAACAGGAAGAAGAAGATGTTTGCATTAGGAGCTCGGGCAGCAAAGGTGGTCCATTTCTGGAGGCTGGTGTGCGACACTTTCCGTAAGATTGTGGACAGCAAGTATTTTGGACAAGGAATAATGATTGCCATTCTCATTAACACACTCAGCATGGGCATCGAGTACCATGAGCAGGTTAGTGCACGTCTCTGTGCTGTTCTCACTGATTTAATATCTGCAAACCCTCATTTTTAAGATAAAATTGTTTACACAGGTCATTTTTACTACGTCTCTCACTTTATTTCCACATAATTGTGTCTTTATATCTCGCAATGTGCCTTTATACCTTACAGTTATTTCTAGTAATTGTGAATTTTATTTCAATTTTATTTTATTTGTGAATTTCTCAACTTTATATCTCACAATTATGTATTTACTTGTACTTGTGCCTGTAAATCTCACATTTGTGACTCCATACACTACTGTTCGAAAAGTTTTGGGTAAAAGATATATATATATATATATATTCAACAAGAATGTTTTATTCTTATGCTTTTATTCCTCATTGATGCATTTAATTGATTAAAAGCGACAGTAAACACATTTAAAATGTTACAGATGATTTCTATTTTAAATAAATGTTCTTTTGAACTTTCTAGAAGAATCTAGGTTTTCACAAAAATATTAAGCAGTGTTAAACTGTTAACTGTTTTCAACACTTATAATAATAAATGTTCTTGAGCACAAAATCAGAATATTAAAAGGATTTCTGTAGGATCATGTGACACTGAAGACTGGAGTATGGCTGCTGAAATTTCAGCTTTGCCATCAGAGGAATAATTTACATTTTAAATTACATTAAAATAGACAAAAATTATTGTGTCTATTTGGTGAGCATAAGAGACTTAAAAAATCTTACCAACCCCAACATTTTGAACGGTAGTATGTGTCCTAATTTGTTACAATTAAATCTTTCTATATAATAGAAATCATCCAGGGCCTGTCTGCCCCTGCTGCCCCTGACTTTCCATATGCACCATACTTTTCTTGTTTACCATTGTTTGGTAATTCGCCGTATTAGAGAATGAGCACGAGTGTGAGGGTTGTACTGAACTGAGAAGGCAACTGGCACACATCTGAAATTCATTGCACTCAATTTTTATGAGACATTGCAACTTTGAAGGATGATGAATTCCTCGAAGTGAGAGTTAGAGATTTGTATTCTTCTCAGAAAATGGTTGATTCTCAGACAAGAAAACAACATTCATCATCACTCACTCTGATTAGAATGATTTATTCTGGTAATTTGAGAGTTATTCAAAAAATATGAAGTATATGGGAACGTATGCTGGCAACCAGGAGCGAATATGCGGGCAATATAAGAAGTTTGGTCCTCGGCCTTGTGAACTCGAGCAGCCAAAAAGTGAATGCGTTTTATTAGATGCAGAGTCATCGCATGAATTTACGGGGCCCAGGATAGTAGTCTACACAAAGTTTTGGATTTTTAAGTTTTTTTTTAAATGTTCTTCAAAATCTCTTATGCTTACCAAGACTGGATTTTTAAATAAAAAATACAGTAAAAACTGTAATATTGTGAAATATTATTACAATTTAAAACAACCATTTTTATTGTAATGTTTTTTATATGTTCCTGTGATGGCAAAGCCGAATTTTCAGAAGCCATTACTCCAGTCTGTTATATTATTTTTTGCAGAAATTATTCTAATATTTGTTGTTGAAAACAGTTGTGCTGCTTAATATTTTTATGGAAGCCATGATAGTGTTTTTTCAGTATTCTTGCAAGAACAGCATCTATGTTATATATATATATATATATATATATATATATATATATATACATTATAAATGGCTTTACTGTCACTTTTGATCAACTTAATGCATCCTTTTCTAAAAAAAATCTTAATGACCCCAAACTTTTGAATGGTAATGTATATTTGATGGTGTAAGTATGGTGGACCCATAACAAAAGGAATATACACAAAACATACACGGATTGCTTCTTTTGTCTCTCCTCTCATTTTATTCCCTGTAAACTCCTGGGGAATTCTGGCAGTGAACGTTGTCTTTATGGAGCGATCCATCTGGACAATTGGAGACTGAGGTAGAGCAAGAATTTGGATGCACAAGGTCACTTGGGTTTTTTGATCCTCATAAAACTTCCAATCTGGCTAATTGCATCTGTTCCTGTTTCACATTCCTGAAGCTTCTATTGCCCTTTGTCTTTCATACTTGTCTGAGCTCCTCTTTCCCAATCACTGACATCCTGCATCACTTTTTAAACCCACTGTGGAATTAAGAAGCTCTCCACTGCAACAATTACAGCTCTGTTTATCGTTCCTGAGCTTGAAATGTTGCTAGTAGGGTTCAAAACATTATTTGATGTTGTGTTGTCCAGTTTTGGTATTCTATTGTGTGGCACAGATGGAAAGATCACACATTGCTGGATGAAGTTAAGATCAAGTGGAGTTTCACAGAGTGTAGCCAAAGGGGAATGTGTGAATGACTGAGAAAAACAGGCAGAAAATGTTGAGCTACGCTAATCTAAGCAGTGTTCTGCCTCCCTCCAGACCCTGCTCTGTGTTTCTTGGAGAGGAGACATGTTGATCGCTTGATCTTACGCATGAAAACCATACAAAACCTGACCACATGGCTGCTATTTACAGAGCTGAAACGTGTGCTTTTTATTTTCGAGGTTAAATATAAATCCACAGGCACATCTCCATCTCTCTTTTCTATCGGTTATCACGTTCTTCCTTCAGCCCAAGTTGTTCAAAAGCTCCTCAGCCCATTCCGTTTCTTTTATTTCTTGGCTGTGTTGCTGTTTCCCTTCCATATCGGGCTATATATCTGTCAGCTCTTTTAGCCAGAAAGAGATATTTGCCTCCATAGCTACATTTTAAAATTTTATTAAAAAAATTGTAACCATAAAACTAATGTTTGTGGACACTACTAGCACAATACTATTCTAAAATTTTCATTTTGTTACAGAAAATATTTTATGCTCACCAAGGCTGCATTTATTTTATTAAAAATACAGTGAAATCTGTAATATTGTGAAATATTATTACAATTTTGGAAATGTTTCTCATTTTTTCCAAGTTGAAAACCGTTGTACTGCTTAATATTTTTTGGAAAATTTAAAAGTGAACAGATGTTTTCAGATGTTGAAAATGTTTATTTGAAAGAAATTTTAAATTGAAAAGTTAAAGTCTTTACTGTCACTTTTGATCAGTTTAATGCAGCCTTGTTGAATGAGTGTTATTTCTTAAAAAAACAAAAACAAAATCTTACTGACCGCAAATGATAACAAACGATATTGTAATAATTTTGGATGAATGTCTAGTTGCTATATGTGTGCAATGAAATATACTGCTGTATTTTTAATGTTGTGGGCCATCTTGACATCTTGTTTAGATGTATGGCATCTTTGATTCTATCAAATACCAACAGATAATAAATCTAAAAGTGACTGACTCTGTTAGAAATCTTATAATGGGCCATGTTTGGATCTTCCAA